TCTGGGCCAGCCCCCTCCCCCCAACGCCGGGCTGGGCACCTCCCCCTGGCGCAGTGGCCCTTTGCCTTTTCCTCTGGCCAGCACAGCAGCCCACAGATACATTTTCCCCTCCCTGCAGGCCACCTACGACTATGTCCTGCTGCAGGAAAGTACCCTGACAGGAGGGGACGGTATCAAGGCGGCAAAGGGTCATGCGCGTCTTTATAGGGGAAGAACCCAGAGAGGATGTGCGCCTTGCTGTTCCAAGCACAGGCACTCCGGAAGTTCTCTCTGTGGTGTGATTGAGTCTCTCCTGCTGCAGCCACTCACTCTCCCCTTTGCCTGTAGAAGGAGACCCTGGAGGATTGGAGGCAACCAATCTTTTATTATTATTATTATTTTATTTATTTATTTTTTTACTCTGGGGACACACCCGAGGGTGCTTAGGGGCTACTCTCACTTCAGTGCTCGGGATTGACCCTGGAGCATATGTGCTGGCTCTGCTGAACTACCTCCCCAGCCCAACAATTAAGTCTTTGAAGTCACTGAAAACGTCTTCCTGGCAGTGAGAGGCGTGGAATGAGCCCCAAGAGTGGGGCGAGGAGCCTTAGCAGAGGCCAGGGCAGAGGTGCTGGCTGGGCTTTCTCCTGCCTGTTTGTGGTGGAACTCAAGTGGCCCAAGTCTGGGGGCAGGGGGAGGGATGGCAGCTGAGTTTTCTCAGCAGTATAATGGACCCACCCGTCAACCAGGTGGTGCTGGTAGAAGCCACCAAACACTATGCCCTGGGCCTCATTTAGCACCCACTGGCCCTCTTGCGGTCACATGATGAGCAGCTCTGGCCAGGCCAGGAAGAGGTGAGGAGAGTGAGCTAGTGCAGAGGGAGCGTGCGGGTGCGGGGGGTGGGGGGCAGGAGCAGCCAGAGCCAATGCCTCATTCGATTTCCCGCCCTGGTCCCCCCGCCTTGCTCCAGACTCTTGGATTTGAGATCCTCTTGCTGGGCTGCCCAGAGTTCCCATGGCCACACCACACGCTGCCACGGGCTCCTGGGTTGGATTCGGACTTGTCCTGTACTGGGTGTGCAGACTGTGAGTGCATTGCCCTCGGCTTTCCAAAGCCTGGGGTCCTTTAGATCTGGGGTTTGTTGTGGGGCTGGGTCGGGCCTAATGTGTGTGCATGCATGCATGCTTATGTGTACAAGTGTGTGTGTATACACGTGTGCATGTGTGTGTGTACATGCGCATGTGTGTGTGCACGTGCATGTTTGTGTGTACATGTATGTGTTTGTGTGTGTGCATGTGTGTATCTTACTGTTTCTGTAGCTCCCCCGCCCCCCCCCCCCCCCAAGTCATGCTTCTGCTGATGAATCTAAGGGGAAGGAAGGGAGGAAACGCAGGGAGGCGTCCACTCACTGTCCCTGTAGGCCCTGACCGGGTAGCAAGGCAGGGGTGGTCATAAGTCCCGAGTGCCACCTTGACCCCAGTTCTGCCAGCAACTGCACTATGAGTGCCTTGGCATATCATCCTGCCTCATGCTTCAGTTTCCCCACCTGTGAACCTGAGTGACAGGAAATACATCAACACTGAGGTTCTATAGGAGACTAACACCCAAGAAAAGCTGAGATAAGTACCAGGAGGTTCACTCCATGGCTTGGAGGCCAGCCGCACATGCTGGGGGAGAAGGCAGCTCAGATAGAGAGAACACCAAGTAAAGGGTGTTGGGATGGGAGATGCGTGCTGAGAGTAGACTATAGACCTAACATGATTGCCACTCAGTGCAAACCACGGCACCCAAAAGGAGAGAGAGAACAAAAGGAAATGCCCTGCCACAGAGGCAGGGTGGGATAGGGGGTGGGAGGGATACTGGGATCCGTGGTGGTGGAAAATGGGCACTGGTGGAGGGATGGGTACTCTATCACTTTATAATTGAAACCCAAGCACAAAACTTTGTAAGTCTACAACTGTACCTCAAGGTGTTTCACTAATAAAAAATAAAACAAACAAAAAACCCTGAGGTTCTGAGGATGGTGTGTGTGTGTGTGTTTGTGTGTGTGTGTGTGTGTGTGTGTGGTCTGTGTCTGTGTGTGTGTCTGTGTGTGTGTCTGTGTCTGTGTGTGGGCGCCAAGGGAAGTGACACTCAGGTATGCTGGTTCTCTGCTGACCTTTGGGCTTCTGGGCCTGCCCCCTTCCCCTCTGTAGGGCCCAGGGCACGGGACCCCTGCCCTCAGGCCCCTGTCTGGGCCGTGTTTGCAAACTCCACAGAGTAGTGCTTTTTGGGAAAGTTTTAGCTTCTCTCCAACCAGTGAGTGGGAGGCATCTTGTGGCTGGCGAGCATCGCCCATGGCCAGCCTCCAGCTGGCCAGGGCCGCGGGGTGGGGGCCGAGGGGCCGGCGTGCAGCGGTTGCTGGCAGGGGGAGCCGTTTCTCGGCCGTTTCCAATATTGACTCTGCCTCGGCGCCCTGCGCCTTGCCAGACCCAAGGGTGGGGAGCAGGCGGGTGGAGATGATGAATAACACCAGCCAACACTTATCGAGAGCTTAAGTGCCTGGCTCGACTCTGAGTGCTCTGGGCCCCGTCCCGCGCATTCTCACACAAGGGCGCCAGGCAGCAAGGACAGGGTTGCTGGGAAGGTGGTTTGCCAGGAGCAAGCTGGCCGGGCCTCTGTGCTGCAGGCTTAGCCCAGCGCTGCTCTAAGTGTGCTCCCATGACCACCCCCCCCCCCCCCCCGGGCCGTCCCTCATGCCCAACCTGGAAATTCTTTTCTTTCTTTTTTTATAAATGACAGTAACAGATTTACTTTTTTTTTTTATCTGTTTTACCTTTTGGGTCACACCCGGTGATGCATAGGGGTCACTCCTGGCTCTGCACTCAGGAATTATTCCTGGCAGTGCTCAGGGGACTATATGGGATGCTGGGAATCGAACCCGGGTAGGCTGTGTGCAAGGCAAATGCCCTCCCCACTGTGCTATTGCTCTAGCCCCCAGCCTGGAAATTCTGAGAAGCACATTTTCTGGGGGTCCCCGAGGTGTATCTTGCCCTCCTGTTGATTCAGGTCCCAGACTCCCCAGATACCCACTCTCTGGGGTTTCTTCCAGGGGAGAATGAGGAGCCCTTGAGAGTCAGGGGTGGACCTGGGGTAGCCACTTGTTTCTGATTCTCCCTCCTACCCCTGTTCAGCCTTCTCCCACCCTCCTTTTTTTGGGGGGGGGTCACATCCGGCAGTGCACAGGGTTCACTCCTGGCTCTGCACTCAGGAATTACTCCTGGTGGTGCTCGGGGGGACCATATGAGATGCTGGGAATCGAACCCGGGTTGGCCACGTGCAAGGCAAAACGCCCTACCTGCTGTGCTATCACTCTAACCTTCGACCCTCCTTTTTGGGGGAGATTTTGTTTTGCTTTGCTTTTGGGTCATGCCCTGCAGTGCTCAGGGCTTACTCCTGGATTTGTGCTCAGGCATCACTCCTGTGATGGGGAGCTTGTAGAACCTACTTTATAGTGTACCTCTAAGAGGGGCCACTCGTGTTGGTGCTGGACACGGGGTAGGAGCCAGCCGCCCCGCCCCCCGGAGGTTCCGGATAACCCAGTCTTGGGGGGTGTGGACACATTCAAGGATGAGATGCCTTGAATCTATTTCGGAGGCCGGTGAGGTAAGAAAGGACAAAGCAGGGATGAGGAGAGCTCAACGGTGGGTGAGTCCAGGCTTTGCACTCCAGAGTCCCAGGGTTCCGACCCTCGAGCACTGAGCCAGGAGGTAACCCCCCTGAGCCCCTCCAGATGTGGTTTCCCATTCCCCCCTACCCCTCTTCACTCCCAAAAAAGTTTGACAATGCAAACTCTGATGGGGGGCTAAGACCTGTTCTCATGATTATATTCGAACTCCCAGTCTCATCAGAGGCCCAGACTGCAAGGTCTGTGGAGTTAGAAGTAGCTAGGATATGCCAGGAAGACTTCCTGGAGGAGGAGAGGAGGTGAAAAATTCAGAAGCCCAGAGTCAGTAAGGACCCAGATGTGGGACTAAGCAAGAAGGTCTCGGGGGCCACTCCTAATGGAGCCAAGTCTGGGAGATCTTGACAGTCCCTTGGGAAAAGTCGGACTCTGCTGGCCTCTCCCCGGGGGCTGCTGTGATTTCTCATGCAGAGCTTGAAACCCAGATCCCCAGGACCCCGGGATGGGGCTCCTGTCCTGCTGTCCCCTTGGCCAGTGACAACTCACTGGACTTCTCCCTATCCCATCAGTGGGCTCAGTGATTATGCCAACACCTCCCTGCGAGGTGCTTGTGAATACACCAGAGTCCAGGTAGAAACGCCTTGGAGGGGGAGACTCTTCCTTGCTTCCTTTGCATTTTTGTTTTGTTTTGTTTTGCTTTTTGGGTCACACCCAGCGATGCTCAGAGGTTACTCCTAGCTCTGCACCCAGGAATTACTCCTGGGGGTGCTGGGGGAACCATATGGGATGCCAGGGATCGAACCCAGGTTGGCCACTCAGGCCCCTCCTTTGCTCTTTATTTTTTGGTGGTGATGGAGGACACAATTGTCTGTGTCCGAAACCAGGATATGAGTAGTCGAGCTGGATGATGCTAGCACCGTTAGAAGTGGCTTACAGGGACAGAGAGGGCTTACAGGGCTTACACAGTGTCTAGGGCCCTGGCCTCGCTCACTGCAGACTGGGTTCGATCCCCAGCACCTCCTATGCACCCCAAAGCCCCAGCAGGAGTGATCCTCGGGTGCCGAGAGAGCAGAAAAGCCTGAGCAGTGCTGGGCGTGGCCCCCAAGCCCAAACCCAAACCCAAACCCAAACCCAAACCCAAACCCAAACCAAACAAACCAAAAAGAGAGCTGGTTTTCATCTTCCACATTCTTCCTCTGAAGCTGGGAGCAGCCTGGGGCCCTGAGTACCGGGGTGGGTGGACGGACGGGGTGGGTGCTACTGATGGGATGTGGGGGCGTGTTCTTGCATCCCGGGGCCCCTCCGAGGCACGTGCCCCGCGGCTGACCCTCTTTCTCTCTTTCCTCCCTTCCCACAGCCCATCCGCACGGAGAACGCACCCAAGAATGTAGTGGACACGGTGAGCGGGGCCAGTGGGGCCAGCCGGGGCGTGGGGTGGGAAGCTGGAAAGAGGAAGGGGGGAATTTCGGAGGAGAGGGCAACAGATGGGTCTGGGGGAACCTCCTCCCCGGGGAGAGGATTTGGGGAACTTGCGGGGGAAGTGGTGGGGATGTGGGTGACGTGGGGAGCTGCGGAAGTGAGTGGCCAGCAAAGACCCAGGGCGGGTGGTCAACTGTTGCGGCTTCTTTATTAGCGCTGTAGAACATGAGCGAGAGGCCAGCACGGCCTCTTAGCGGCAATCTCTGGCTTAGCTGCGTCACCCCCAGGCTGCCGAGGGGCACCCACCTGCTCTGGGCTCTCCTCGCCACGGCCCAGGTGCGATAAGAGGGCTCGGAGGTGGAGGACCTGGGCATGAACCCCAACTTTTTCCGGCTTCTAAGAGTGTGCTGGAAGGCAAGAGACACTTCTGGCTGGGCCTCGATTCTGTTTTTCTTTTCTCTCTCTCTCTCTCTCTCTCTTTGTTTTTGTTTTTGTTTTTGCTTTTTGGGTCACACCTGGTGATGCTCAGGGGTTCCTCCTGGCTCTGCACTCAGGAATTACTCCTGGCAGTGCTCGGGGACCCTTATGGGATGCTGGGAATCGAACCCAGGTTGACCGTATGCAAGGCAAATGCCCTTCCCGCTGTGCTATGGCTCCAGCCCCAGATCTTCTTTTCTCTTTCTGGTTTTAGGATCCAGACCCCCGCTATACTGGGGGTGAGGGGGAGTGTTATTCCCGGCTCTGTGATCTGGGTTACTCCCGGCCGTGCTCAGGGGACCCTGTGGTGTTGGGGATCCCAGATGGGCCTCCTGCCTGCGAAGCTGGCGCTCGATCCGGGGAGCAGGCTGAGTGCCACGGCTGGGCTGTCTCGGCTTTCTTCCCTGCAAAAGAGGCATAACTCTCGTCATCTGAGACACGGGGGAAGGTTCGCTTTGCTCTGAGGAGGCCTGGGGTGGACACAGACTCAGACCTCGCCCAGGTCTCTGTGTCTAGCCCGGCAGAGCTCGAGGTCCGGGGCCTGCTCTGATGCGTTTGCTCTTTGTCTCCAGGGAGAAGGAGCCTTCGGGGCTGGACGGTCACGGAAAAGCCTGGAGGAAGAGGTGAGTGAGGAGGAAAAGGGAAGATGGGGAGAATGTGGTGAGCCCCAGGGCCCAGCAGAGCGGCCCAGTCTCAGGGCTGTCCTGGTGTGGGGCTGGAGGGGGTAGGGTGGCCCTGGTTGCCACCCGGGAGGACAGCTGGGTTCTCGTGCCTGCAGTGGTGGCATGATGTCCAGCCCCGCTTACTCACTCACCCCCTGGCCTCCAACTCAACCTGGGCCTACAGTGAAGTTGGCCCTTGCCATTTGGCTCTGATGTTGCTCGACTCCAGTGCTCCGAGGTGGGGGTGTAGCTGACCAGGGAAGGGCGAGAGTGTGGGCACAACTACAGCCAGAGGGATCAAGGACAGAGGGGAGAGGGGCCCCCGGGGGGTATCTGCCCAGGGGGACCCCCCGGGGGATCAGCCTGGGACACTTGCTAGTTCAACCTCTCGGGCCAGAAGCTTCTTTGAAGGAGGCAGAATTCTCCTGTGTGCTGGTGTTTGTGTGTGTTCAGGGGTTGGGGACCATTCAGAGGGGGTCTCTGGGAGCCAAGCTGGTCCCCACACCCTGGGTCAAAGGCCCTGCAAAACTGTGACTGTGTCTCTGCCTCTCTCCTCTCTCTCTCTTTTTGTCTCTGTCTCTGTCTGTGTCTGTCTCTCTCCCTCCCTCTCTCTCTCTGATAGCCTCTGTCTCTCCCTGTCTCTCTCTTTCCCTCTTTTTTGTGTCTCATCTCTGTCTCTCCTTTCCTCTCTCTGTCTCTGTTTCTCTATCTCTGTCCCTTTGGCTCTCTTTCTGTCTCTGTCTTTCTGTTTCCCTCTCTCCCTCACTCTCTCTATCTCTGTCTCTGTCTCTCTTCCCCTTCTCTCTGTTTCTTGTCTCTGTTTCTCTGTCTCTCTCTCTCTTTCCCTACCTCTCCCTCCCTCTCTCTTGTCTGTCTCTCTGTCTCCCCTTCCCTCTCCCTCCCTCTCTCTGTCTCTCTCTGTTTCTCTGTCTCTGTCTCTGTCTCTCTCCCCCCCCCCCCCCGCCCGCCCTCTCTCTGTGCCCCTCGGACGGCCTCTCCATCTGCACAGGGGCAGGGAGTGGTTTTGACGGTTGGGCAGGGGCGCGGGGAAGGGCTGAGGCCCTATCATCTGACAGCTGCCTGACCCGCCGGGAGGGCCCTGAGGGGGGCCCTGGGTGTGTGGGGCTGGGCGCTCTGCCGCAGACCGACCAGAACTCACCAGGGCAGCAGGGCCCTGCTGCCCAGGGATGCCCCCGGCACACAGGTTCCCCCGCGGGAGTGGCACCTGGCAGTCTCTCCCATGCTCAAGGTATGCATGGGTCCCTGGGGCTGCCCTGGGGAGGGCCCCTGGTCCCATCTCTGGGGTGTCGGGGGCCGAGTCACGGGGAGAAACGCACCTTGGCACCTTGCCCACCACGGAGGATGCGTGGATGCCAGGCGTAGTGAGGGTCACCGTTGGAAAAATGTTTCATTGAATTTTTTGGGGGGGGTGAGTGGGTTCAGCAGCCATACCTGGTGATGTCCAGGGGCTGCTCCTGGCTGTTGCATGCAGGGGGTGGCTCCCTTGGGGTGCGGGGACTTGGCTTAGGGTTAGCAACAACAAAGCAGGCACCCGGACCCCAACACTCCTCTCTCTGACCCTGGAATAGAAGTTTCTTTATGCTTCTGGGCACAGAACCTAGGAGCTCACACAAGTATGCATTTTATCACTAAAGCTCATCCCTGGCCCCTGCTTATTCTTGTAGTAGTATTATATATATTTTTTTTTTGGGGGGGAGGGTGCAATTTGGGCCACACTCAGCTGTGCTCAGGGATCACCCCTGGTAGGCTCAGGGGACCATGTGGGGGGTGCCAGGGATAGGACCTGAGTCAGCCATGCATAAGGCAAATGTCCAACCCGCTGTACTATTGCTCTGGCCTACAGTATTATAACTTATTTTATATATATATATATATATATATTTTTTTTTTTTGCATGGAAGTGTCTCTACATCCGGCTGTGCTCAGCGACTACTCCTGGCTCCTTGCTTGGGGGTTGATCCGAGCTGGGGGAGGGCAGGAAGCTTGTGGTGCAGGGATGGAACCCGAGCTTCCCGGAGAGGATGCATGGACCCCGGGCTGGAGGGTTCACACGGGCAGGAAGCCTAACATTTGCCTTATGTGTGTGTGTCTGGCCCTGGTTCTATTCCTGGCATCCTGTCTGGTCCCTGGAGCCCCTCCGGGAGTGGTCCTGGAGCAGAGACTTAGGAGGAAGCCCTGGGCACCACAGGGTAGGCCCCAGTCCCCCCCAAAAAACAAAAGAAGTAACTTGCACTGACCCTTTGAGCTCTCTCTCCAGACCTTACATTTCCTTTTTCTCACTGTTTTGTTTGACTAAGGCTGGGATCTGGGCTGGTTTTTTTTTTCTCCCATCACATCCCTTGTGGTGGATACTATGGCTCCATTTCATTGACGGACAAACAGAGGCCCCAGTGACCGGCGACCCTAAGCAGGGCTCCCTCATCCCTCCAGGGTGGCGGCTTAGGTCCATCCATGCACAGGGACCCCAGCCCTTGGCCTGAGGCCATACTGGGACACATGAACCCAGCCCTTTCACCCACAGTCTGGACACACACCACCACGCCTGTGCCGTGAATCCCAGCCTGACAGAATGACGGCAGTTGTCATCGGGGCCACACTGGACAGTGCTTGGGGCCCATAGCATGACAGCAGAATAGAGGTGGGATAGGAGGGAATCCAACTCAGGGCCTTGCACAAGCCAGGCACTGGGGTCCTATGATCCTTGAGCCACAGCCTTTGGCTTTGCAGAGAATATTTCCGGGGGACGCCTTGGTGCTGGGTGGGGAAGTTCCAGCGGTTTTTCTGGGGAGCAGCCTTTGCGTCTCTGCAGCATGTATCTCTGTGTGCTGGGGCCGTGGAGGCTGGAGTCTCGTCTGCTGTGGGGTGCCGGGACCAGATAGATGCATTTTGGTTTTACGGGCGAGGGAGCTACGCGGGGCAAGCCACCCGGTGCTGTGATAAGTGGCGGCTGCCAGGGAGACAGAAGGAACCCCCGGGTCAGGCTCCCAGATGCCTGTGCAAGGTGGGATGACCCCAGGGTCCATAAGTCTGCCGCCCGTGGGAGCAGGAGGCTCCGCCAGCCCTTTTCCCTGCCTCTGGCACGGGGCCCAGAGCTCGGGCAGGACCGGCGCGGCCAGCCGGCCCAGTGTGCTGTGTCGCACTTTGTTTTGGAAAAATCCAGGCTGGTGGGCAGGAAGGAGCGAGGAAGGGGTGTGGCCGGAGGGGCTGGTGTGTGTGTGTGTGTGTGTGTGTGTGTGTGTGTGTGTGTGTGTTGGGGGGGGGGGTCAGTGGGATGGATGGGGGTGGCCACAGGCCCACAGGAGTCCTAGGAATGGGGCTGGGCCCTGAGCCGATTGGTCACCGGACTCCGGCTGCCTGACCTGGAGCTGGCTTTGCTCGCAGACCCTCCTCCCTGCCCTGCGCCCTGGGGATCTGGGCTCAGGAAACGGCTTTTCTTTGGGTCCTGCGTCTCTTGGGTTGGGTCCACAGACCTCAAAGGCGAGCTGGCTCCTCTCGCCTGGTCCCCACCCGCGGGAAGAGGAAGGTGACTAAGGGAGTCGTGAGCGCGAGGGAGGGATGAGGCCCCCCTGGGCTGACCCGGCTCTGCAGCAGGAAGACTGAGGGTTAGCTACCAGGAGGAACTTCCCGAGAGCGAGGCGGAGAAGCGGGTGGAATTTCCTGTGGCCCTCCCAGCTGAGGAGAGGCCATGGGGATGCCCAGGGGAAGGTGGGGCTTTGGGTGCCCAGAGCGCTGCACCAGGATTCTCGCAGAGACTTCCTTCTGCAGAGGTCATTCACAGCCAAGGTGGCAGAGGGTCTGCAGAGCTGGCAAAGTTGAGAGTGGTACCACGGGCCAGGCGGTAGCTCGGTAGCAGGCCCCAGTGAGACCCCAGGTTAATCCTTGGTACAGCTAACAAGTAGCACGGTAGCACTGTAGCGTTGTCCTCCCGTTGTTCATCGATTTGCTCGATCAGGCACCAGTAACGTCTCCATTGTGAGACTTGTTGTTACTGTGTTTGGCATATCGAATACGCCACGGGGAGCTTGTCAGGCTCTGCTGTGCAGGCGGGATATTCTCGGTAGCTTGCCGGGCTCTCTGAGAGGGACAGAGGAATCAAACCTGGGTTGGCCACATGTAAGGCAAACGCCCTACCTGCTGTGCTCTTGCTCCAGCCTAAGAAAAAAAAAGAAATAAAAAGGAAGAAGAATGGATGAGAGGGGCTGGAGCAATAGCACAGCGGGCAGGGCATTTGCCTTGCACGCGGCCGACCCGGGTTCAAATCTCGAATCCCATATGGTCCCCTGAGCACCGCCAGGAGTAATTCCTGAGTGCAGAGCCAGGAGTAACCCCTGAGCATCTCTGGGTGTAACCCAAAAAGCAGGGAAGAAAAAAAAAGAACGAATGAGAGACACACAGAGGGTGAGTGATTCTGTTCTATTTTTGTGGTATTTGGGGGTCGCTCCTGGCAGTAGTCAGGGGCCAGTCCCCACTTGGTCAGTTGGCAAACAAAGCCCACAGTGCAGTCCTTTGCGCCCTCTGCCTGTCCCTGCGAGGCTCTGCTTTTAGGTAAAACCCCTGTGTCCATCTTTGTAGCACCTACTATGAGTTTCCCAGCAACCCTTGCGTGGAACAGGTAAATTAGAAGAAATTTCTCAGGCTCCACACTTGCCCTGTCTTACACATTGGACGGTGCGGCCATGGGGGCGTGTCTGTTTCTTCTAAATTGTTTCTGGGGTCAGAGCCCTCCACTCCTCAGGCCCTGGGCCCTGGGGTTCTCATCTTGCTGAATGGGAGAGCAGCATACCATGGTGGGGAGGGGGTACCCAGAGCCCTCCCCCCCATCCCCACGGACTCCTCCCCGCCTCTGTGATTCCTTGTCTCTGATCTCAAGCGTGGGGGTCCGCTGCTGAGTTTGCACCCTCGCCCCCCACCCAGCCATTTGCACTTGGCTCTCGGCCGCCTTCCGGTGGGTGTGTCCACCACGCTGGGTCGTGTCCCCCTATAAGTATCAGCCTCCTGCCAGCCGCTGTCACATGCCCCGAAACTCTGCAGAAAACAGGAAGCGTCATCAGTTAGAGGGCGGCCAGTGATTCATCAGGAGCTGACTGTCCAGCTGTCCGTCCCTGTCCGCCCCGCCCCCCCGCCCCGCACTCCCGCCCCATGGGGGTCACTGTCTGCAATGATTTCCTCCTTGGCTCCCCGCCCCCCACTCGGCCTGGCCCTGGCAGACCCTGGCGTTGGAGGTGGTAGAAGGGGAGGGGTGTGTGAGCAGAACAGGCTGGGACTTTGTCATGTCACCTCTCTAGAGGTGGCTTGGCCAGACTTGGCCAAGTTTTTATTTATCTTCTCGGGCTCTTTTGGGGTGGGGAGGCTGGGGAATGTGGAGTGTTGTAATGTTGGGGGTGGGGGTGGGGGGAAACAGGAACAGCACTCCCGCCCCACTCATCCTGCTCACCCCCACTACCTGGGGCAGCTGCAGGTTCCCTGGACACGCCCCCAACCTCACCCCAGTTCCCTTTCCAAGCCCTTTCTCTGTCCCCTGGTGTCTGTCTCCCTGCAGCTCCCCGGCTGGGACCCAAGGAGGGTTCTGACTGGGCTGTGGGCTCCTCTCTGGAAGCAGATGTGACCGAGTCCTTCGAAAGTGCTGGGGATGAGCTGCAGATGGAGCCCCGGGGGTTATTTATAGTGGGGGTGGGCTGGAGCCTGGAGCCGGGCAGGGGCTGGGGGCGGTCAGCCGCTCCTCATCAGAAGCGGAGCTGGCGCTGGATGAAGAAGTGCTGGGAGCAGTCTGGGAACCGCCTGGCAGGCTTGGGGCTTGCAAACAACAGCTCCCCTCCATGGCTACCTCCTGGCCCGCCCGCCCGCCCGCCACACCATCCCACCCCCCTCCATGCCTGACTCATGTAGACCCAAGACCTCAGGGCCAGGAGAGCGGTGGGGGGGGGGGCAGTGGGGGGACGGAGAATGTCGCCTCCCACAGCCCCACTTGGCAGCTGGGAGTTGAGTGTCAGCCCCGGCCTGCTGGGACGCGGGGCTCAGCCTAGCTGGGAGCGATGGGGCTGTAGCTCTTCGCGGCACAGCGGGGCCCAGAGATACGGGGATCCCTGTTCTTGGGGTCACTCCCACATCTGAAGCTGGAGCCTGCAGGGTGAGTCTGTGAGCCCCCGTTTCTCTCTCCTCTCCTCTGCACACTGTCAGTTCCGCTGGTCTCCTGAGAGATCAGCTTGGTGCTCAGGGAGGGTCAGGGAGGAGCGGGGGGTCCTGGCTTCTGAGAGGCACAGGGAGGCTGAGAGCAGTCTCGGGGGATGGGGGCGGAGGTCAGTGGGTTCTGGGAATCTACTCTGTTTGGGGGTGGAGGCATGGGAGTTGGACTACACTGGGGGATGCTCAGAAACTATGCCTGGCTGTGTGCTCAGGAGCGCCCCCTGGTGGTTATCAGGATCCCTGTGTCTCTGGTTCTGAGGCTCCAACTCTGTCAGGGGCCCGGCAAGGAAGCACCTTCACCTCTGTTGACCCCTGGCACTCATGAGAATCCAGAAGTTGGGGTCCTGACTTGGCCTTGTGTGTGTGGCTGAAATGATGGGGAGCAAGCTGGCGGACAGTGTGAGATGGAGCTTTCACCTTCTGGAGTGGTGAAGAGTTGAACCTCCAACTTGTGTTTTAGTTTAGTGTTTGTGTTTTTAGTTTAGTCTTGGGGCCACGGCCAGTGGCGCTCAGATCTGTACATGGGGGGGGGCGGACGGAACCTTAGGGGTTACTGAGGATAGAACCACACTCAGTTGTGTGCAGGGAGCAGTCTTCACCCTTGCCCTATCTCTCCACCCCACCCTTAAGCTTTTTTTTCCCCTAAATTAAATGTAATAAATGAATTTGCGGGGGCAGGGGGCGGGGCTCCCAAGCAGTATTGGGGGTCCACATACTCACCAAACTTGGCCGAATGGTTTAACCCTCTCATGAGCGATGTGGTATATTGTGGGGCCCCTGCGTGGCTGGGGGCCACCGAAGCTGCACCCATGGTTCCTCAGGACGCCATCCTGGAGCCAGGGATAAACCTGAGACCTCATGCATGAGAGGGATGTGCTCAGCCCCGGGCATCTGTCCTCGGGCACGCGTGTGCGCCTTCCATTCCTCATTTCTTTGCCTTTTGCAATATCCCGGGAGCTCAGTTGACAATCTCAGATGCTGGCCGGGCCTTTGCCATTGACAGCCCCTTGCACCCCACTCCTAATTCTGTCCTCTTAGCCCGGGAGAGGGATGTGGGCTTTTTTTTTTTCCTTTTTGGGTCATACCCATTGATGCTTAAGGATTACTTGTGGCTCTGCACTCAGGAATTACTCCTGGTGGTGCTTAGCGGACCATATGGGATGCTGGGGATCAAACCCGGGTTAGTCGTGTGTAACGCAAATGCCCTACCCGCTGTACTGTCACTCCAGCCCCAGGGATGTGGGCTTGAGGGAAGGGCGGACAGAGGAGGGTCTTCTCCCAGTTTCGGTGGGCATCTGGCCCCCTACTAGGGCAGGGGCCATTCATGTGAGCAGGGTCAAGGTCAAAGGCACTGAGCTTGGTCTGTGGTGGGCCGTTCTCAGCCCTTGGGTTCCCTTCCTGGCCCAGGGAGGGTTGCGCCTGTGTGCTTGCTTTGGGCTTCGGGCCGCTGCGTTGCTGGGGTGTTAGGGTGTCTGGGCTGGAATGTTGGCACAGGCAGGAGAATCTGTGTTTGCCCACGGCCTGGCTGTGCCCGCCTGCCTCCTCCCTCATGCTCTTCTCTCTTTCCCAGGGCTCCACGAAAGTCACCCCGAACATCCAGCCCCATCCCCAGCCCACCAGGTAGGTCTGGCCCACGGGGCCTGGGGTTGGGAGTGGGGGTTGCCTGTGAGGGGTCACTGGGTGTTGGCATCCTGTCTTTGGGGCCCCGAGAACGGGAGTCACCTTGGCGGGGTGGGTGGGGAGCAGATCGCAAGGTCAGAGCTAGGCCGAGGGAATGTAGAGAGAGATGCCATCTGGAAACAGCCTGTGTGGGGCTCCAGCTTCCAGCCAGGCTTGGAGTGCGGTTCTTCACGAGCTCGTCTGCTTAGTCTCTGATTTTCACTTGACAGATGGACAAGCCAAATCCTGGGGCCAGAGGCATAGCACAGTGAGGAGGGCAGTTGCCTGGCAAGTGACTGACCTATGTTCTATTCCCACCACCTCCTGTAGCCCCCCCCCCCCACCGAACCCCACCAGGAGTGATTCCTAAGTACAGAGCCAAAAGTAACCCCTGAGCAGCGCTAGGTGTGCCTCCCAAGCAAAATACAAAAAAAAAAAAAAAAAGACAACAAAAAAAGAGAAACCAAGTCTCAGAGAGCAGAGGTCAAAGGGTTCAAAGTCATGTGATCACCAAGAGGTCACACTGGGATATGCATTCAGGTTCGACTGGCTTCTGGGCTGGTGCAAACTCCAGCTTCTCCACATAGGAGATTTTTGTCTGTTTGTTTGTGTGGGTGGGCAGGGGGTGAGTTGTTTTTTTTTCTTTTTGGGTTACACCCGGCAATGCTCAAGGATTACTCCTGTTTCTGCACTCAGGAATCACTCCTGGCGGTGCTCGGGGGACCACATGGGGTGCTGGGAATCGAACCTGGGTCGGCTGCGTGCAAACGCCCTACCCGCTGTGTAATCGCTCCAGCCCCGAAGAGTTTTTCTTTACCGGATGGAAAGTTCTCTCTGTCTGGGTGGATGGGGCAGAAAGGGGGTACCCAGGGGACCCGGACCTTGTTCATCCAGTCTCTCCTTTCAGTGTCAGGGCCTTCTGCTGCAGCCCTTCTGCCCAGCACCCTGGGGTGTCTAGAGATGAATGAGAACAGAACCTCAGTGCGTGGGGGCTGGGGGCTGGACCCTTCTTCAGGGCAGTGGTTCTCAAGGGGCAGTTCATGTCTGCAGAAATTTCCTGCCCATCATTTCAGTGGCAGTGGTGTCAGCCACTGGTCTGCAGACCCATGTCTAATGGCAGGTGTCACAGGTTGAAAGTGATTGAGTCGCTCCCTCATTCCCCTGCCTTGGGGACGCCCTGTAGGGCAGACTGCCACACCGAGTCTTTCCAGGCGGTGGTGCTATTCTGCCTTCACATCCTTCCTGGGTAGCAGATTGAAGATTCTGGCCAGGGGGGTGGGGTGGGGGGAGGGGAGGGGCTGCAGAGGGTGGGCCCCATCTGACTCAGCCTGTCAGCCCCACCCCGACCCCCACAGACCCCCACATCCCATCTCTTCTTACCCCAGCCCCCCACTCTTGGCTCCTAGCTTGCAGATTTCTGTGATACTCCACTGCATTTTCAAGATGAGTAGGGGATTTGGAGGGGCCCAGCTTGGGGGTCCTAGGGAACTGTCCTCCCGTAGTGATGCCCTGAGGTTGGAGCCTGAGGGACCATTCCCACGGGTAGAGGCAGATGGTGCAGGGATGTCTGTGAACATCCCTCTGCAGCAAACACACTTGGTGTCCCGGGGCTCAGGGAGGCTGAGAAGCAGCCGTGGTGGAAGGCGGGAGAGCCAGGGAGCAGAAGGCAGAAGCTGGCCTGCTCTGGAGCCTGCCTGGAATGCGCGCTGGGGTTGGGTCTGGCTTACCTGGAGTCCAGGTGCGAGTGTGTCACCTGAGCTGCCCCTTCCCCAGGCCTCTTCCTGTGCACTGCCCAGGTTGGGAGCTCCAGGGAGAGGTGCAGGAGGAGAGTGCTCGGGTCTGGCTCTTCTTCCTCTAGCTGGGACCTTTGGGTGAGGGACTGGGGAGCTCCATCTCCCCTTTATCTAGCCAGGACCCACTGGGGACTTGAGGGGCAGGGGGCAAGGGGCAGTTCCTGCCAGACTGGGCAGCTGTGGTGGGTCACACTCGACCTCTGGGCTCTTGGCTGCTTCTAGCCCTGGTCAAGCCCTGACGCTAGTATCTGGGACCAAGGGTGGAGGAGGCAGAGCCAGCAGGAGGGATGGGTCCTAGTATGGGCTCCTGGACAGTCAGGTTCTGAAATGCCCTAAGTCCTTGCTGGCACAGTCTGCCTAGCTTCATCCTTCCCGGCACTCTTAGCCCTGATGTTCAGCAGGGGAAGCCCATGGCGTAGAGTCCAGCTGCTTCCGTGCTCTGGAGTTGAGTCTGGGGGCCATGCATGGTGTGTTGGGGTACAGTGGGGTGCGCCTTGCCCTAGGGTCTGGATTCTGATGGGGAATCCCTCTCCCACCTCCTGTCTTTCCAGAAACATGAGTGTGAGCCGGGCCTCTGAGGACAGCTGTGAGCTGGACCTGGTGTATGTCACCGAGCGGATCATCGCCGTGTCCTTCCCCAGCACCACCAACGAGGAGAACTTCCGGAGCAACCTCCGTGAGGTGGCGCAGATGCTCAAGTCCAAACATGGAGGCAACTATCTGGTGAGTTCCATGTGGTCCCCTGCCATAGCAGGTCCCTGCCCTGCTCCCTTCCACCTGTACTTGGCCCCAGGCACTTGTCTTTTTAAAAAAATAATTGCTTATTAATTTTTCTTAATTGAGTGGTGAGATAAATGGTTACAAAGTTGCACATAGTTGTATTTCTGTCATACAATGCTCTGAGTTACAAAGTTGCTCATGGTTACCCAACCATGGGTAACATACATCTATCATACAGTGCTCCAACACTTGGGCACTTGTCTTTAACCTGCCTGTACTTAAGCACACGGGTGTGTGCGCATGCACATGTGTGTTTGTGTGCATATGCACGCCTGTGGTGGTATGCAGACATGCACCTGTACACTCATACTGGTGTGTGTGTGTGTGTGTGTGTTGCTTGCACATGCCTGCTGGGGCGTGCATGTGTGTACACATATGCCTGCCCATAGTGGAGCGTGCACACACATAGTGCTGTATGCACATGATTCACATGTGCATTTGTATGCTGGCATGTGTGTGCGTGTACATGCCCATATTGGTGCATGTATGTGGAGATTGAGGCGTGCACATAGGTGCACAGACACCATGTATACTGCACGTACAGATTGTTGTGTGAATGTGGGCGGGGTACTCCTGCGTGTGAGTATTGGGGTGTGTGAACATGCGTGTGCACATATACTGGTGTGTGTCTGTGCATACATGTGTATGTTGGGGTGTGTACGTGTGCATGTTGTACCCACGTGTGCATAGGGCCATGCGCAGGCCTGTGAGGTATAAGATTGTGTGGATGCGCGCATGTGCTTGTCTTGTGCTGGTGTGTGCAAGTATGCATGGGCCCGTGGGAACGCGTGTATATGTGCATATGAGTGTGTGTGTATGTGTGTGCAGAATCTGAGTGGGTGTGGAGTTTTGGGGGACTCTCTGGGGCCTCCCTGTCCACCATGGGGGGCCTGGGTAAGGGCCTGGCTTCATTCCATTTCGTTTCTTTGTCAGTAGTGCCAGGGGCCAAAGCCAGTTCCTCTGTCTGCTCGGCGCACACTTGGCCACTGAGTGCGTGACCTGAAGGCTCTGGGTGCTATCCTGGCTGCTCCTCTCAATCCTGACCCCTTGGACTCTCTGATCACCCCCTTGTTCCCTTCCCTGCAGTGGGTGTCAGGAGCACGCCTGCACAGTGGCAGATGAGCCAACTAAGCCACACCTCAGAGGTGCCTCTGTTAGTTTGATTTTCTTGGTTTGGGGGCTATACCATGCAGTGCTTGGGGCTCGTTTCTGGCTCTGTGCTCAGGGATCACTCCTGGAGTTACCTGAGGACACCCTTTCTGGTGCCAGACATGCAACTTGGGGTCAGCCTTACGCAAGCCAGCCCTTCAATTCCTGGCCTGTCACTCCAGCCTGCTGGCTGTCAGCTCTGAAGGCCGGTGGAGGATTGTCCAGTTGCTGTAGGTGTGGCTAACTTAATGAAGCCTGTTTCTGGGCTCAACAGTGGAACGGGACCCTCTGAGATGCCTCCTGCTCTCAGGAGCTCAGAATCTGGGGGTCTCTGCCTGAAGCCCCTTGCACTGTCCTGACCCTGGGGGAGTCCAGGGCCAGCTGAGTGATACAGAGAGTGGCAGTGACCTCAGGAAGCAGTGGGGGGCATCTGCTGGAGGTGGGTGCACAGGCTGAGAGAGGCCTGCTTGGGGGTTGGGAGGGAGACATCTCTCTGGGGACAGAGGGGCACCTAGCTCAGAGCAGCTGCGTCTTTATGGGCCAAGGGTCTCAACCCACATCCATGTGGGATGATACCCTCCTGGGGCCGGGGGTGGGTGGGTACGGGATTGCACATGGAACCTGAGACAGCTCCCCTCCCCCTTCTCACCGTTCGTTCTAGAACTTTCCCCAGAGCGACGTGTCAGCTGCTCTCTGTCCTGCTCTGGGGGAGTCTAGAGGCCCAGGATGTGAAGGGCTGCTCCCCGACAGTCTCTTCTCTTTCCTCCTAGCTTTTCAACCTCTCCGAGCGCAGAGCTGATGTCACGAAGCTGCACGCCAAGGTGAGCGCCTGGCCCTCAGGGGTGGGGCTTTGGAGGGGGGGAGGAAGAGAAGGGCTCACTGTCCCCATGCACCCCACATTTGACTTTTGGGAGGAAGTGCTGGGGCAATTTGAAATGTCAACTCAAACATCTCCAGGCCCATGATTCCTGAGTACAGAGCCAGGGGTTAGTCCTGAGAGCCGGGTGCAGCCCCCAAATACCTCCTACTAACAAAAGTTCTCCGGGCTGCCTTGTTTTTAGACAATGGACAACAGAGCAATGTGTGTGTCAGGGGGATAGTTGCTCAAACCTCCTGTGGATTCCTGCAACCACAGCTAGTCTTGGGTCTTGTGTTCTTTCTGTGCATGTAGACTTATGACAAAAGTTTGATTTGTGGATGAGACACTTGTTGAAACTAAGCCACAGCTCGTGAGCCACTAAAAAAATCACACAGTGTCACACAGTGCATGGTACTTGGAGATATCCAGGGAACAGAGTTTCTCTGTGGCTTTAAAGCTGCGAGTTTAGGGGATAGAGCTATAGCACAGTGGGGAGGGTGCTTGCCTTGCCTTTGACTAATTGAACCAGGGCTTGAACCTGGACTCAATCGCTGGTTCCCCTTATGGTTGCCCAAGCCCACCAGGAGTGATTCCCGACTGTAGAACCAGGAGTAAGCCCCGAGCATTGCCAGGTGGGACTCTCAGACAAAAAAAAAAAAAATAGAAATAAAATAAAAATGAAGTTCTGAGTTTAGAAACGGTTCCGGGAGCCAGAAGCTGGGCTTCAGCTGGGCCCCGTCTCTCCGGCTCCTCAAGCTGGCCAGAAAAATCACTAGTCAGCATGTCCAGGGTCGGGAGAGTGAACGAGAATGCCAGGAATGGGCCTTTCTCTCTGCTTTCCTGCAATCTGAGACGGGCGGCAGCACTGTCTGGGGGAGCAGGGGCCCCAGTACGATGTGAGGTCAACGCTGTGTGGACAGGACCTTGGGGGTTAACACACAGAGAGGACGCGAAAGCCATAGGGGGGCTCTGGACGAGGCTGGCATGGGTCTCTGGTCTCAGCCAGCCTGTTCGCGAGGCCCCGTGGGGGCCCACGGGTGCTGCTGCCCCCTGCCCACACTCAGCGATGCTTCCACTTCACCCATGCCTGGCTTGGCCATAGGTCCTGGAGTTTGGCTGGCCCGACCTCCACACCCCAGCCCTGGAGAAGATCTGCAGCGTCTGCAAGGCCATGGACACCTGGCTCAATGCTGACCCCCACAACGTCGTGGTCCTGCACAACAAGGTCAGAGAGGGACCCTGGGTCATCACGTGCACATGTGCGTGCACACATGTGGCCTTGCACGTACATCCATGTGTCTCATACACGTATGCCATGCACACGACTGAGTGCCCATGCCTGCCTGTGTGTACATGCAGGGAATGTGTAAAACTTGTGTACATACCCACCGTGCACACATGTGCGTGTGATCTCGTGTGCATATGCGCGCAGGTGCACACTCACGGGGAGGGCACACCTGTGCGTGTGCACATTTGCACACACGTGGCACGTCCTGGGTACAGCTGTAACTGTGTGCTCGTGTGCCTGTGCATGCCTGACATGTGTGCATCTGAGCATGTACAGCACAATGAGGACGTGTATGCACTTGTGAACACAGGTGCGTGTGTCAGGCAGCGTGTGTATGTATGTATGTATGTGAGCCCAGCCTGCCTAGACTCAGCGTGCATGCGTGCTCTGTTTCTCTTCCCCAGGCAGCTTGTGGCACTTTCCGGGGCTTCTCTCCTGGGACTCAACCCTGCTCCCCCTCCTTCATCCTTCCCCCCTTTCTCCCAGACTTGCTGGGATCTGCTGTTTTCCTGCACAGAAATAATCGGCTCTGTGCTCTGGCGCTCTTTCAGGGAAACCGAGGCAGGATCGGTGTCGTCATTGCCGCCTACATGCACTACAGCAACATTTCAGCCAGGTAGGAGCCCCCTGGCCCGGCATTGCTGGCTACGGATGCCCCCTTCTGTCTGCCCACTGGCCTCGCCCCTCTCTGAGGTGGGAGGAAAGAGACAGGCAGGAGAAGGTCTGAGACTGAGAATAGGGACTCACAGTCTGGGGGTGGGGGGAAGAGAGCCCCCGCCCTCAAGCCTGGAGTTGGGGTGCAGGCTCTGTCAAGGGTCCCCCAACCCCCATCCAACAAGCTTCCTGGGACACTGCCTTGTCCTGCTGATTTCTCTTTCCCTGGGTGAATCGGGAAAGAATCGGAAAGAGCTGGGTCTGGCAGAACCTTCTAGAAGCTCCCCCTCCTCCGCTGCCTGCCTGTGGCCAGCCAGCTGGGCTCTCTTCCTCCTGGAAACAAGAGTGGGAAGCTACCATGGAGGTTCCCCTTCCGTGTTTCTGCAGAGAGATGGGGATTCATCCCCTCGCAGCCACGCCCCCAGCTCCGTGCCTGGCCCTGGGCTCAGCCCAGGGAATGCACAAACCCTGGTGAATACTAGCAAATAAAATCACTCATGTGCAAAGCAGGTGACAAGCCCCCTGACAGAGCAGAGGGAGGGGCGGGCGTGCGGTCAAGAGGACACGGGCCAGACCTGTCGGTGCTCAGCGCTGAGTCCTCCTGGCTCAGTACTCAGGGATCATTCCTGTTGGGGCTCCCGTCTGCGGTGCCAGGGCTTGAACTGGGGCTGTGTGCCAGGCAAGCCCCTCACCCTGTGCTGTCTCTGCCCCTCCAGAGGGGACTCCCTAAGATGCTGGTATTCGAGCAGAGAACAGAGTAAGGGGAGGAGAGATGGGTTGACATCAAGTCTCAGGGACTGGGGGGGGGGGGCTTTGGATGGGGAGAAGATACGAGAGGCTGTTTGGGGCTGAGGAGTGAGCACTGGAGGGAGCGAAGGAGGGAAGAATGGAGGTGTAGAGGGAAGGGGGGCAGAGTCCCCTGGCTGGAGGGATGTAGTGGCCATGGGGGATTTAAAAAATTTTTTTAAAATTTTTTTTTATTTTATGAGGTAGTTTACAATATTTGGCCCTCCCGTTGATCGTCGATTTGCTCGAGCGGGCCCAGTAACGTCTCCATTGGAGACTTTGTTGTTACTGTGTCTGGCATATCGAATACTCTCGGTAGCTTGCCGGGCTCTCCGAGAGGGGCGGAGGAATCGAACTCAGGTCGGCCATGTTGGCCGCTTGTAAGGCGAACGCCCTACCCGCTGTGCTATCGCTCCAGCCCACAATATTTGATTACATTTAATATTCAAACACCAATCCCACCACCATTATACCTTCTCTGGGGGATTCTTGTTGGCCTTGATAAGATGTTGGGGTTATCAAAAGGAGAGAGAGAGAGCAAAAGGGAATGCCCTGCTACAGAGGCAGGGTGGGGTGGGGGGCTGGGGGGTGGGAGGGGTACTGGGATCCGTGGTGGTGGAAAATGGGCACTGGTGGAGGGATGGGTACTCGATCATTGTATAATTGAAACCCAAGCACAAAACTTTGTAAGTCTACAACTGTACCTCATAGTGTCTCACTAATAAAAATTTTAAAAAATCTCAGCAACATTAAAAAAAAAGATGTTGGGGTTATTCTGAGAGTGAGGGGTGCTCCCTGCGGCCTCTGGGTTTTGCAGAATCCCTTCACATGTTTTTTAAGGATGGGTAGAATGTTATGGGAGGGTGGCTAGCAGGTGGATGGTTTTAAAACTTCCAGAGGGGCTGGAGCGATAGCACAGAGGGGAGGGGGGCATTTGCCTTACATGCGGCCAACCCAGACTCAATCCCTGACACCCCGTTAGCCCCACCAGGAGTGATCCCTGAGTGCAGAGCCAGGAGTAAGCCCTGAGCTCAGCCATGTATGACCCCCCTGCCCCCAAACCAAAACTAAGCAAAAAAAACCTTGCAGGAAGCCAGCCCAGCCTTACCTGTGCTCAATGGGGGAGCACTTCCGGTGCTCTGTGCCCACGTGCTGAGACTCAGGTGCTGGCTCCCTGGGTGGTCCTACCTAGCTGGGGGAGGAGGGTGCAATTGTCCCCCTCATTGAGTAGGGACGGAAAGGCTGGGTCAGAATGGCTCAGTCCCTGTCCCCCCTACACAGGCTGAGAAGTGAAACCATGGTCTAGGGCCCTGCAGCCATCAGTGGAGGGAGACACTGGACTCTTCCCAGGCCAGGGTGTTGGGAGCAGGGGTGAGGCGGTGGGGGGCGGGGCTCCCCTTACCTCATCTCTCCCACAGCGCCGACCAGGCCCTGGACCGATTCGCCATGAAGCGCTTCTATGAAGATAAGATTGTGCCCATCGGCCAGCCATCCCAGAGGAGGTGGGTGTCTGGAAAGGGTGTGCCTGGACCGTGCATGCTCCATTGAGGTGGGCTAGAGGCCGGGGGGCACTCCAGGAATGTGCACTCAGCATGCGTGGTCAGCTGCTGGCCAGGAGCAGGGTGAGCTTCGGGAGATCCAGGGAAACCCGGTGGGGCTGTGTGCCTGAAGGGGCTGGGGGTGTCCATGACTGTGCTCTTAACTTAGAGTTAAGTATTATAGCACTTGGCCTGGCCCATTTTGATGCCAGGGTAGCTCACAGCTTGCCCTGGGTCCATCCAGTCCCTCGCTGGGACCCTGCTCTTGGAATGCTAGGAACTAAGGGTGACTGAGGCTTAAGTCAAGTAAATATGGATGCACAGGAGTAAATATTATTTTGGAGTCAATGAACTCAATGTTAATTAATGTTACTTAGTGTAGCATCAACTGTCTTCCTTTGTCTACACAAAAAGGACATTGCTGAATAAACCGGGCAAATGACATAAAGGAAAGAGAAAAGCAATATAGGGCTATTAGTGCCTGATGGAATTGGGTGTGCCTCAGTTGCACTGTTGTGGGAGTGGCTCAGTAAACCTCAAGCTCCCTGTGGGAGCAGCAAGGAAAATCCAATATTATTCAGCAGGGGGATCCTGATCATTGGCTCCTGAGGCTGGGGCCTCTGTGAGTGCAAGAAGGCAGGGGGGTCTCGGCCCTGCAGTCAGCCTGGACCTGCAGGGGGTGCCCATCACTGTGGTGGGCACTGCGCTTGCCTGCCAAGGCCCTAGAAGGTCACCTCCTGCCAGGGGAGCTTAAAAGACTGGTTCCACCCCCACCCCCCACGTGCAACAGAGCCTTCCATGGCCCAGGTTGGGGGAAGGACGGGATTTATTCATTCCATTAGAACATTTTACACATCACACTTCATTTGAGTATTTATTGGCATCTTTTGAAACCAGACAAAACAGTTTGCACATCATCTTCAGCTTATTAAAAAAATTCTATGTTTTGGAGCATCCTGCAGTGCTAGGGATTGGACCGGGGTTGGGGGGTGGGGAGTCACTCTTGGTGGTGCTCAGAAGAGCACTGGTGCTGGGAAGTAAACTCAGGCCTCCTGCATGCACAGCAGAACCCTTGGCTCTATTTTATTTATTTAAGGTAGTTCACAATATTTGATTACATTTAGTATTCAACACCAATTCCACCACCTTTACACCTTCCTACCACCATATCTGGGATTTTCCATCCCAAGCCCCAATTCCTGTCCCAAAGCAGAACCAAAATAATATATTTTATATTGTTTGTTATGAAAAACCACCGAAAATGCTACCAAAAAGTATCCTTAGAGGAAAGAGTGTGAAGATTGTTCTATTTTGGTGGGGGCCAGTAAGACCCTCTATAAGAGATCACTGACATGTTGTTAAAGGTTGAACCTTGTGAACTTTCATATGTATATCTGTAAATATATATATATATATATATATATATATATTTCCCTCTGTGATTGGTTGCCTACTATTTGAACCCCATCAAATGTGATGTGGTACTCTTGGAGAATGGGTCGGTTGTGTCTTATGATGTGTTGTGTGGGTGAAAATGGTTCAGGAATAGTTCACTTGTGTGTGAGGGTCGGCCAGAGAGTGTAGGGAGCAGCCTTGAGCGTGGCAGTGGTTGGGTTGTGGAGGTCAGCTGCCGGGACTTGGATCCCTTGGGGGTGGGGAGGGGTCTCACCTGTCCCCCTCTGGGGTGCCCCGAGTGAAACAGCCTGGCGTGGAGTCTGGTGAACCCTTGGCTCTTAACGAGCTGATATTCCATTGTGAAAGGCGGACTGTAAGCATGTGGTTGTGTGAGTGAGACTGTATCTGGAAGATCTGAGTGCTGAGGCAAGGAGGGAGGAGAGAGCGGGGCTATTTGGATGAGGCTGGTCAGGGAAGGCTTCCTGGGGAAGGTGAATTTGAGCACATGCTGACAATAATGGGCAGTCACATGATAATCTAGGAGTCTCCTTCATACAGAGGAAGTGCCTGTCCCCTCTAGGAAGGGGGGCCTGAACTGGCCAAGGTCTGCAGGGAGCATGGCGGAGCTAGACTAGACCCGGAAGCAGTATGCCATGGGCCCAGGGAGTGCTTCCAGGTCATGCCAGCCATCATCCTGCAAGCTGCCTTTGGGTTCTGCACGGCAGGTAAATGTAGTTTAGTGAGGTCTGATCTGTTTGAGGACAGCAGAGGCAGAACCGGGGCCTAGTCGGGGATTGGGGAGGTTGTGCTGAGTGGGGGAAATCCCCCAAAAGGGTGGGAATCCAGCCCCAGGGCAGGACTCAGCCCCCAGTGCTCCTCACCTGCCCCTCCCATCCCCGATGAGCTCCCCTGGGGTGATGGGGCTAAATTTCCCGGGGACTTTGGAACCTCTTGGAAGCAGGACCTCCATCTCTAGGTCTTGGCGCTTTTCCACTTCTCCACACTGGGAATCCTCAACTCACACCCCGGCACTCCCATCTTGCCTTGCTGGAAGGGGGCTGTGCTTGTTTAGGGCTGTTTCTGCCTCTTTGGCAAGAGACGAGAATGGGTCCTTTGTGCCTAAAATATGACACATGTCAACTGGGGCAGTGCTGAGAAGAAATGCAGTGTCTCGGCTGGAAGATGATAGTTCCCTGGGTATGGCTCTCGCCTGGCACACAGTTGGCCCCAGCTGGAGCCTCAGCACTGCCTGGGGTTACTCCCAAGCACAGCTCCAGGAATATTCCAGAGTGATGCTGTGTGTGTACACTACCTCCCCAAGCCCCCCTTGTCTCAAGAAATGGGGAGTGGGGTTGGAGCGATAGCTCAGTGGGTAGGGCATTTGCCTTGCATGTCGCCGACCCCAGATTCAGTCCCCAGCATCCCATCTGGCCCCCTGAGTACTGCCAGGGGTAATTCCTGAGTGTATGAGCCAGGAGTAACCCCTGTGCATTGCCGGGTGTGACCCAAAAAGCAAAAAAAAAAATATGCGGTGTTTCTACATGCAGGAAAACCTGGTCCCAACCCCCGACATAGCAGCTGAGAGTCACCGAGCATCTTTGCAGGGAAGAAGGCTTAAGCAGAGAGAACTCTGCTTAAGTACCGACTTCTCAGATGCTGGCTCACCATACAGGGCGGGTGAGCTCATCTGCAGGCATCCCCTGGACCATGAAGGAGAAGGGACACACACAGAAGAGCGTGGTTTTACGGTGGCACCACGTGACTTGGAAAGCAAGCAGCAGGGACTCATCTCGTAGCTGAAAAAAAAAACGGGGCTCAGTGTCATTGTTCAGAAAGGAGGTGATGGGGGGGAAGTTCCCCTTGCTCTGTGTGCGCACGCAGCTGCCTCTTAGAGTGTGTGTGTGGGGGCGGTGATTGGGGGGGGGGTGTCTCCCTTGCTCTGTGTGCACATGCAGTTGCCTCTTCAAGTGTGTATGTGTGTGTGTGTGTGTGTGGTGATTTGGGGGGTTCCCCTTGCTCTGTGTGCACACGAGTGTGTGTGTGTGTGTGTGTGTGTTTATATGATCTGTCTGCTGTCCCCGGTCCTGTTGGCACCCACATCTGCTTCTGGTGGCGGTGGAGAGGTGGGGGCGGGGGTAGCCGTGTGGGTCGGTGCCCAAATGTGAAAGTGTAACTGCTGAGCTTCTAGGGCATTTGTCTCCCTGTCCCTGCCTTCAGGGCAGAGCAGAGGGTGGAGAGGCCCCCCCCCCCACCAAGGCAGGACTTTGCCTGCAGCTCCCCCACCCCATTCATTGTTACTCCACCCCTCGGCCCATTGTCCCCCAGCACACGGACACATCCTGTTGGCACGATCCCCAGCTCTGATAGGAACCGCCATTCCGGGTTTCCGGTTTGAGTAATGGGGGGGAGCAGCGGCCTGAATAGGAGCGGGTGCTGCCCATCAGATTATCTTGCTTGGGCTGTACAAGGTGGCTCCACCCTGGCTCAGGGACAGAGACCCATAGGCCTGGAGGTGGGCCAAGGCGCCCAGAGACAGAAGGGGCCCATTGTCACGACCTTGTGGGTGCTGGCCCCGCCCACCTTCAGAAGCCCCATTGGCCTCCACTATCTCAGGATGCGTGCTGATGGGCTCAGTGGACCCAGGCTGGCTTCCCTGGCCAATCAGAAGAGGAGGAAATGGCAACAGGCTCAGCCAGAAGACTGACCTGTCCTCCTACGGAAGTGCCCAAATTCAGAATCCTTTTCTCTCTGCCCCCGTTTCCGCCTGGGTCATTCTAGCTGTGTGTGTGCGCACACGAGTCTGACTCTCCTCTCTTCCTCAAGAAGGAGGGGAGATGACTAACTCGCATCCTTCCAACAAGATCTTTCTTAAAAGAACCGGGGCCTGGGGTGGGGGGGTTGGTGTTCCCCTAGAGACAGGTGTTGGAAGCAGGTCAAGTGAAATGGGTTGTGCCTTTCAGAGTGATGCAAAACATAAGCGAAGGGCGTTAAAGGATTTAACTTAGTGCTGGACTTGGGTTGGTGGGTCTGTGGGGACAGAATCAGGGCTGTGGTTTGGTGTGAGCACTGGGGGTGTCGAGACCATCACAGCTCTCACATGGATGATCAGCCTGCTTGCAGTGTGGTGTGCAGGAAGGAGCAGTTTGTTAGGGATATGTGCGGTGGTGCTTGTAGAGGGGAGGCAGATTTTGGTCCAGCCTGAGATTCCTGGGGCTGGGAGAGAAGCAGGAAAGAAACACTTGAGTTGACCACCAGGGGGTGCCAGAGAACCCTAAATGGGAAGTTGGGTACCAGGAGCTAGGGAGGGGGCATTGATGGAGCTTGACCAGAGACTGTAGATGCCAGGAAGCCTAGGGGTTGGGGATGGGGCGGGGTGGGGGGAGGGCTAGGCCAGGTGACACAGGGAATGAGGATGTATCTGCTCCAGTCCCGCCTCCCGGGCTGAAGCTGATCCCACCCCTCCATTGCTCCAGGTACGTGCATTACTTCAGCGGTTTGCTCTCTGGCTCCATCAAAATGAACAACAAGCCCTTGTTCCTACACCACGTCATCATGCACGGCATCCCCAACTTCGAGTCTAAAGGAGGTACCTTTCTGAGTCTCTGGCTCCCTTCCTCTGCCCGTCCATCCATCCATCTCTCTCTCTTTCTCTCTCTCTCCCTGCCCCACCCTTTCTCTCCTGTTCCTTCTCTTTGTTGTTTTTGTCCTCTCTGTGATGTCTGGGTATGTCCTCTTGATTGCTGTGCTCTGGAGATGACACACTTGCCATAGCACCTGGGGTCTGGGGTCCTCATGTCCATGATGAGAATGTGGCAGACACAGGGGTTGAGGGGGTGGGGGAAAACTCATGGCCTCTCCCACTGAGCCACATTCCTGCCACCCATCTCCTCTTAAGAAGCATCCTGGGGGCTGGATTGATAGCACAGTGGGTAGGGTGTTCGCCTTGCACGTGGCCGACTGGATTCGATTCCCAGCATCCCATATTGTCCCCTGAGCACTGCCAGGAGTAATTCCTGAGTGCATGAGCCAGGAGTAACCCCGGTGCATTGCCGGTTGTGACCCAAAAAGCAAAAAAAAAAAAAAAAAGAAGCATCTGGGAGGGTGGGAGGGACAAAGGCTTTGACCCCTGGTCACAGTATGGCTCCCCCAGCACTGCTCTGAGGGACATGGAGGGGACCCATAATACCAACCACGGCTGGAGGTGGCAACCGCAAGAACAAACAGAGTCAGATGGTCAGTTGTGGGCAAGTTCCAGGATTGGGGTCTTCACTGAGCCATTTCTTCTTTCTCCAAGCCCAGCCTGTTCTTTGCAAAGTTGGTTTGAACCTGGCTTAGCAGGTGGGATGCGGCCCTGGCCTTGTAAGGAAATCCGGACCATTCAGGTGGAAAGTTGGCAGGATGCTTCCACTTTCCCGTTCCTTTTTCATCTTCCTCTTTTCACCCCTTCCCCTTCCCACCTTTCTCCCCTCTTTCCTTCCCTCTTTCTTCCCCTTCCCTCTTTCCCTCTTCATTTTTGAGGTCTTAGCCAATACCCCTCCCTCCCTTCCAGGTTGCCGGCCCTTTCTCCGCATCTACCAGGCCATGCAACCTGTTTACACGTCTGGCATCTAGTAGGTACCCCGTGGGGATGGGAGGTCTGGAGGTCAAGCCCCGAGGTGTGGGCCAGGGCACAAGGAGGGAAGGAGTGGGCGCCTTGGTTTAGTAGCTCTTGGACCAAGGGGCAGGGCAGGGAGAAAGCGGCCGGCCCCCTCAACCTCCCTCTCTCCCTCTGCCCACGTGCCTGCAGCAACGTCCAGGGGGACAGCCAGACCAGCATCTGCATCACCATCGAGCCCGGGCTGCTCCTGAAGGGTGACATCCTGGTAAGTGCCCGGGCCCTGGAGCTCTGTCTCACTTCCTCACTCCTTCTCTCTTCCAACTTCCCTCCTGCCTCCCCTGTGCTGAGGGAGGGGTGGGGTTGGAGCTCTCAGGCCCCTGCACAGCTCAGCTTTCACCCCCTTGGCCCAGTGTCCACATGTGGGCCATGTCACACCTCTGTGTGCGCTGCGGCCTCCTGGCTAAGAAGCTCACAGGGACCCCTTCCCCTCTCTTCCGTTTTTTTTCTATGCTTCGTACCTACTCTCCCTTTGTCCACCCTGACTTGGACTTGTAGTCAGTGGCCCGTATGAGGGAGGATACTTTGCTCCCTGCAGTGCGAGCCTGGTTCTGCTGTTCTAGAAGTTTCCCCAGAGGTGCCAGTGTAGATGATAAGGAGGCTCCTTGGGATCACACCCCCCGCCCATGCTCCCCGGGACCTCCGCCTCCCTCCTCAGGTCCCGGGTGGGCTCTGCCTCTTTCCCATGCAGCTCAAGTGCTACCACAAGAAGTTCCGGAGCCCCACTCGAGACGTCATCTTCCGCGTGCAGTTCCACACCTGCGCCATCCATGACCTGGCTGTCGTCTTCGGGAAGGAAGACCTTGACGATGCTTTCAAAGGTGCGTGTGTTGAGCTTTGGCGCTTCAAGCTAGAGCACGAATTGCGCTTACTTGTTGCTATGCTGCTTTCTTTTTTTTAGTATTCAATTTTTATTTTTTAATGAATCACTGTGGGGTAACAGTCACAGACTTAGAAACTTTTGTGCTTATGTTTCAGTCATACAATGAGCGAGTACCCATCCCTCCACCCGTGCCCATTCTCTACCACCAATGATCCCAGTAGCCCTTCCACCAACCCCCACCCCATCCCCCCACCCCACCCCGCCTCTGTGGCAGGACATTTCCTTTTGCGCTCTCTCTCCTTTTGGGCGTTGTGGTTTGCAATAGAGGTATTGAGTGGCCATCGTGTTCGAGCTGAAAGTAGTCTATAGACCAAACATGTTATGTTGCTTTGCTGCCTGTGTTCACTCTTGAGTACATCTCCCTTCTTTCTCTCCTCTCACATCTTCCTAAGGAAGTTTCGATTTAAAACACACACACACACACACACACACACAGAGCAGAAACAAAACCAAACAAAAAGGTGTGTTCGTTGAGCCAAGGAAGTAACTACTCAGGGAAGAGCAGGGAAGAGCAATAATGCAAGTGCGGGGGACTCAGCAAATGGGAAGCCATTGTCTGGAGGAAGAGGAGGCATCTGCTTTCGTTTCTTTATCTATTTGAGGTTTTATTTATATTACACCACTCATGCACGGGCTGGAACGATAGCACAGCGGGTAGGGCGTTCGCCTTACAAGCGGCCAACATGGCCAACCCGAGTTCGATTCCTCCACCCCTCTTGGAGAGCCCGGCAAGCTACCGAGAGTATTCCATATGCCAGACACAGTAACAACAAAGTCTCCAATGGAGACGTTACTGGGCCCGCTCGAGCAAATCGACGATCAACGGGAGGGCCTTTACCTTTACCTTTTACTCATGCACGGAACATATTTACATCTATACATCTATTCATAGCCTCACCAGTTCTTCTGTTTACCCACTTGTCCATCCATCCATGCATCCATACATCCACAGCACTTATCCACCCACCATCCATACTACCTGTACACACAAACCTTTATCTACACACTCAATCTTTTCATCTGTCCACTCACTCACCCATCCATATATATACATACCCTTATTTATCTGCCCACTCATCCATCCATTCCATTATCCATCCATATAGCTATATTCCTCCACTTATGTACCGTCCATCCTTCCATGCATGCATGCATGCTTCCATCCACCTACCCGTTCTTCCATGCATGCATCCATTCATTTATCCATCCATCCATGGATCCATCCATCCATACATACATTCATGCACCCATATATCATTCATCCATGAATCCATGCATGCATGCGTGCATCCATTCATCCACCCATCCATCCATCCATCCATCCATCCATCCATCCATCCATCCATCCCCTCACTTATCCATATACCCACCCATCCACCTACTCATTCATCTGTCTACCTAGCATTCCTTTATCTTCTATCCTTCATCAATCCATCCATTATCCAGACCTACCTTCATCATTTATCCACCCATCTTCCCCTCCACCCACCCATAATTCACCCATTCACCCACCTTCCAAATTCATTTATCCATAAACCTAACCCATCCATCTGCCTTTCCACCCATTTACCATTCATCCCCCAAGTACCGCATGTTTTTGTACTTGTGTTAGGCGTGTGCCAGACAGAGCCCGGGATCCCTTGGGGAGGAAGTTGGTGAGTCAGTGCAGACCTCCAAGGAGCTCACAGTTGGCAGGGACAGAGGAGTCTGAAGTGGTACCCCTAGTGATATAGACCTGCACTGGCATGGTGGGGACCCCCAGGGAGTGGACACTGCCCAGCTGTAACTTCTCTGCCCTCAATCAGTGGACAGTGATCTTTCTCTAGCTTAGCCAGAGAGTAGAGATGGAGCTTAAGGGTGGTGGTGGTGGTGGTGGTGGTGGGTGGGGGACATGGTCCCGCAGTGAGTTGATACTGGTACAGGAGAAGGATGTTTCTCTGATGAGATTTCCCTGTTGCTGGAACCAAGAGGGCCAATGTGGAAAATGCCTAAATGTTTCCATCTTACCAAGGGCAAATAAGGAAGAACCAATAAAGGGGGAGCTGGGGGGAGCTGGGGAGAGAAGGCAAACTTCCTCCCCTTAGGTGGAGGGCGGGGGGGAGTTGGAGATCTAAATGGACAGATGGAGAAATAGAGGCCTGTAAGAAAAGATGAAGTCGTGTCATTTTCAGCAAGGTGGATGGAGCTGGAGAGGGTCATGTTGAGTGAAATCAACCAGAGAGAGGGGAGCAGTCTCAGACTCAGACTCAGACTCAGGCTCTCATATGTGGGATATAAAGAAAACTCTTTATGTAGGCGATTTTCAAATGCCCAGTGGTGATAGAAGTGAAGAGCGGGAGAATTGGTCTTCAGTAGGAAGCTTGCCACCACTGGGGCAGGGGTGAGGGGGATGTTAGGGAAGGGAGCACTAGACAATGGGGGAGGGGGAAAGTGCCTGCCACAGAGGCAGGCTGGGGGCAGGAGGGAAACTGGGGACACTGGTGGAGGGTAGTGGGCACTGGTGAAGGGAGGGGAGTTGGAACAATATACACTTGAAACTCAACCTCTTTGTAATTCACGGTGATTCAATTTTTTTTGAAAAAAAAATTAAAGACTGAACTGTAGTATTTTGAGTTCCATAGATAAACCCTGTGATCAATCACCAGTAACAAAAAAATGTAAGTGGAGTAATAGCACTGTAGCACTGTCCTCCCGTTGTTCACTGATTTGCTCAAGCAGGCACCAGTAATGTCTCCATTGTGAGACTTGTTGTTACTGTTTTTGGCATATCGAATATTCCACGGGGAGCTTGCTAGGCTCTGCCGTGCAGGCGGGATACTCTTGGTAGCTTGCTGGGCTCTCCGAGAGGGACGGAGGAATCGAACCCAGGTCGACTGCATACAAGGCAAATGCCCTACCCTCCATGCTGTCACTCCAGCCCAAGTAGAGCAATAATGGGAATTATATAAATGAGTAAAAATATTCCTCATTCAAGTGGTGAATGTCAAAATTGAAAACCTCTTTTTTTTTTTATTGAATCACCATGAGAATAGTTACAAGGCTTTCAGGTTTAAGTCTCGGTCATATGATGATCAAACACCTATCCCTTTACCAGTGCACATTTTCCACCACCAAGAACCCCAATATACCTCCCATCCCACCTCTCCCCCTGCCTGTTATTATCTCTTTACTTTGATTACATTCAATTTTTTGACAGAAGATCCACTATTACTATTTTGGAATTTTCCCCCAATAATCAGACCTGCCAAAAAGCCATCATTAGATAATTTTTTTTTGCTCTTTTTTTTGGGGGGGGAGTCACACCCGGCGATGCACAGGAGTTACTTCTGGTTCATGCACTCAGTAATCACTCCTGGTGGTGCTTGGGTGACCATATGGGATGCTGAGAATCAAACCTGGGTTGACCGTGTGCAAGGCAAACATCCTACCCACTGTGCTATTGCTCCAGCCCCAATAATTTTTTTTAATTGCTGATAATGATAATCTGCAACTCAGGGTCTCGTCCGGGTAGGGGGAAGGGTCGGTCCCGCCCCCCATCCCGAGAGGCCCCATGTGCCCTGTCACTGCAAGCTTGTACCTCTGTCTATTAGGCTCTGAAAGATGGTGGTCACCATGCTGCTGCAGAGGGGGAAAAAGGCATGGGGACAAACACCCTTTCCCTCTCGGGTCAGCACGGGGCTATCGCTTAGTCCACAGGTCAGAAGCATTTCTGCCAGAAGCCTCTGGGTTCTGAGATTGGTTTGTGTGCCTCTGAGATCATGGCCTTTCGAGAGCAGAGGAGCCATTTGTGGGCGGCAACTCGGGGTCGCATCAGCGCGTGGGGGGAGCCTAAAGAGTCTTATCTTGAGAACCAGCAGCCCATTTTTGTCTCGCTTTCTTTTCCAGATGATCGATTTCCAGAATATGGCAAAGTGGAGTTTGTATTTTCTTATGGACCAGAGAAAATTCAAGGTATCATCCAGGTTCCGCATGCCTTTGCCCCCTCCCATCCTTCCATCCCGCCCCAAATCTTCCCACCACGCCCCTCTTCCCACCGGTCTCCTCAGAACCATCATGTTGTCCGTGACCGAGAGGCCGGAAAGGACCTGGGCATCCTAGAGAACCCCCAGCTAAACATAAACCAGTGACTTAATCTCTGGATAATAAAAATAAAAGAACTGACAGCAAAGCACTGGGGCAGATGAACTCTTCTGGCCCCATTAGGTCATCCTCTGATTATATATTCGGAGCTCGAGCACCCAGGCACTGGAAGGAGTGGCTGGGGGCACTCCCAAAGGTGTGGGTGGGTGGGACACACTGAGCACTGAGTTGACCTGGCCTCGAGATGAGGCCAATCATTAATTATAGCCCTTAACGAGATTCTGTGTGGGGACCAGTTGTTCTCCCTCTTATCAGACAGAACAGGAGATGAAGGAAGGGGCAGCGGAGTTGGAAGGAAAACTCCCTAGCACCTGATTTGCAGCTTGGCCTGTCGCCACCCCCTGGGTTCTTCTGGGTGTGATGTTGGGCTTGGGGGGCTTCGTGCAACCCTCTCTTGCCAGCTTCAGCCCACTTCTCCTGCTCCGAGCCCACTTTGGGGTCTTCTGGAGCACCCCAAGAGACAGAAAAGGGTCAGATATACCCTATCTCCCGGGGAAAAGGGGTGTCTTTATTCCTCTGTACCGTGTCCCGATTTTCCCTGGTGTCAGCTGAATTTTTTTTTTAAATAATGTAGGAGTACTGCTATTTGTTCAGCCATCGATTAAGCTGTTTGAATTGGGCATGAACTCCACATTACTCTCTCTCTTTTTTTAATTGTATCACTGTGAGATAGAGTTACAAAGCTTTCACAATTGAGATTCAGCCATACAATGACGGAACACCCATCCCTCCACCAGTGCACATTTTCCCCCATCTACATCCCAGTCCTCACCCTGCCTCTATGGCAGACAATTTCCCCAGTACTCTTTCTCTAATTTTGGGCATTATATTTTGCTCGAAATTTCCCACCACCATTTCAGCCTACCTGCCAGGGGAAGATGCTTGATAATTTATTTTCCATTGCTCATTCTGAGTATCAAGAGAGCTTGCATGGCCATGATTATAAATTTAAATTTCTAGATTGTAAATGGTTGGGTTCCAGAGACATCTCTGTATGGCACTAATCCATTTTTGGATTCAATTAGGACTCTCTGGGCCAGAACTGTTGGTGCGCTAAGATGGCACCCGAAGGCAAATTGTGGTCATGACAGCCAGTCTACTGGGTGGATGGGGACCTGGGGAGGGACAGCCCCGGTCCTCTGCTGCCGTGCGGCCTGGAGATTTAGGTCAGTTGAATTCTTAGGAATCCAGAAACCAGTTGGAGTTGAAGTATTATATGCCTAACACACTGCTGTCAGTCAATAACTATAAATCACAGTTATTTAACAAAAAAAAAAAAAGAAAGGGATCGGAGCGATAGTACAGCGGGCAGGGCATTTGCCTTGCATGCGGCCAACTTGGTTCAATTCCTGGCATCCCATATGGTCCCCCAAGCATCGCCAGAAGTAATTCCTGAGTGCAGAGCCAGGAGTAACCCCTGAGCATCACTGGGTATGACCCAAAAAGCAAAAAAAGAAAGAAAGAAAGAAAGAAAGAAAGAAAGAAAGAAAGAATCAGAAATCAGACTCCTGGGGTCTCTGTTCATGCAAAGATTTAGGGTCTGCCCCCTATTCTTCTACCCCCTGACCTGAAACAAGGCACTGACCTCGGTGGGGTGACAGACTCCACTGTCTGTCCTGCTGCCGATCTTCCTCCCACTCACCCTCCTCCCATCCTTGCATGTAGGCATGGAGCACCTGGAGAATGGCCCGAGTGTGTCCGTGGACTATAACACCTCCGACCCACTCATCCGCTGGGATTCCTATGACAACTTCAGTGCGCATCGTGACGAGGGCATGGAGGGTAAGTGGTCTCCCAGCCGCAGGCTCTGCCGAGAGCTGCTAGTCCCGTAGGGAGAGAGCCAAGGCAGAGCCTTGTACAATGAAGACAGAGCTGAGAATGTGGCTGAGAGGTCTCCTGGCTGTGGCCTGCCTGTGGCAATGAGTCCCACATGCGTGTGTGTGTGTGTTGTGTGTGTGTGTGTGTGTGTGATTCTCAGGAGCATCACTGAGGGCTCCCTGGAGCAGGTGGCCTTGAGTAGAGCTTGTGCTCCCTCACTCCTGCAGTGTACACAGCATTTGTTGAGCGCCTTTTAAACTCATGGCCGGATGCCTCCCCATGTTGCTACCTGAATTACCTGGGCCGAGGGCACTAAGAGTGTAGACCCAGCCCTGGGAGACCTAGCAGCTTTCACTCATTAGTCAGCAAAGACACATGCATGCTGGCAACCAAACCCATCAGCTTACTGCCCGGAGAAAAAGAACTGCAGAATGCAAACGCGTAGGGGATGCAGAGCTCGTTGGCAAATGGGCTATGCCCGCGTTCTGGGGCTCTGGGAGGTCTGTGGGAACCTGCATTGATTTCTGTGGTGTATCTGAACACGGGGGCTGGGGGTGGTCAGGCCCTCTGTACTGGGCGTGCTCAGAGCCCTGAATTCAGGAGGATCCCAGAGGCTGCTCCTTCTGTCTTGCTTTTAGAACCTTGGAATATGGGAGCTGGGAAGCTCTATACCTCACTGCCTCCCCATTTCCACGGGGGTCCCAGAGACCCTCTTCAAGGAAAGGTGGGGGTTGGTGGGCTGCCGTGGTGTCTTCGGGGAGCCCAGGCCAGCAGCAACTGAGTGAGCTTTGGGGCTGTCCCTCCCGCCTGCGTTCCCGGGGCTGGGAGTGTCCAGCCGCTGGCTTGCAGCTTTGTACTGACTTGAATTGTCTTGCTGACTTTTCCTTGGTTTACGATGCTGTGGGGGTTCAGGTGCTTGGTTTCCCCGCTCTCTGTCTGCGGGGATCACCACCAAAGTTCCAGGGCCTCCTCACCCCCAAATGGCCACCGTGCTCACCCCTCACTCCCATCCCCTTGGGGAATTACCCTCTTCAGCATATCTAAGAGTCAGTGGGATTGTTGTTGGATGGTTGTTTCCTTATAATTATTATTTCAGGGGAGGGGTCCTAGGTGTAGGGTCCCTCCTGGTGATTCCTCGCCAATTTAGTGCAAGGGCAGGAGGCATAGTGCTGGGGACCCCCAGGAACATACTCGGAGATGTTCAGGGAAACTAGATGGTCCAGGGAATCGAACTTGGGCTGTGGTGTGCCAAGTAAGTGTCCTAACTAATGTACTATCTCCTGTCCCTGATTATTTTTATTATTGGAGCCCTGTTGATGGGGCCTCTTGACCGAGTTACTGGGAAACATGAGCTCTATCCCCTTTATAAAATATTTTTTAATTGTTATTATTATAACACCCTGATTTACCAGTATACTGTTCGTGACACAGTTGTATCAGGCATTCAGTGTCCCAGCACCAATTCCCCCCCACCAGTGTGACCCTCTCCCCACCAGTCTCCCGATTCCCATCCACAAGCCCAGCCTGCCCCCTCCCCCCCGCCCCGTGCAGGCACAAACAAATTGACTTCATATTGTTTGTGACAACACAGAGGCAAGTGGAATGAGCAAAACTTAGATCGCTCAGAGTCAATTTGTGATCATTCCTATACCTCACACTGCTGTGACTAAACCATTGTCTGAGGATCCACTGTGCTGGCTGGTGCTGGCTGAGCCCCTGGGGTTCTTGTCGAGGCTCACGGAGCTGGGTGGGCTTTTGTGCAACTTTCCCGGAAGGTTTGCTGTGTTCTTACTAGGCTGATAGTATGAAACTCTGAGGTGGCCAGGACCTATAGATCTGGGGCAATTTGGTGGCCTGGCAGTTTTTAAAATTCTTTATTTTATTTTATAAAGTAGTTTACAATATTTGATTGCATTTAATATTCAAACACCAATCCCATTACCATTATACTTTCCACCACCATATTTTGAATGTTTCCATCCCAAACCCCAATCCCTGCCCCAAAGCAGAACCAAAATAATGTATTTTGCATTGTTTGTTATAAAAAACCACTGAAAATGCTACAAAACAATAAACTTAGGGGAAAGAGTGTGGGGAGTGTTGTATTTCACCCAGGGACCATTAAGCCCTTCTATAATAAATCCCTAATAAGTTGTTAAAGGTTGAGTCTTGTGTGCTTTATATATAAATATGTATGTGTGTATCTGTAAAATAATGTATATTTCCCTCTAAGATTGGTTGTCTCTTACTTTGAACCCTATCACATGTGGTGCGGTAATCTTGGAATATGAGTAGGGTGTGTGGTTTGAAGTATTGCGCGGCCACAAATGCAGCCATGCGGTCCAGGAATAGATTCTCTCATGGGTGAGGCTCGACCCAAGCATATGGAGAGTGGCCGTTAGCATGGTGATGGCTGTTTGTGGAGGTTTTTGGCTGCCAGGGCTGGGTTTCTAGGGGCGGGGAAGGGTCTCACCCATCCTCCTCCGGGGGGCCCCAAGTGAAACAGCCTAGTGCAGGGTCCAGTGGCTTGGTTATGGCAAACGTCATGTTATGCTCCCTTCCGGGAGAGAAGGACATGCCATCTGGATGGCAGGTGGCCTTGGCAGTTTGATGAGGTTCAGTAGTGGAGCTGGGCGGTTTCTGTATTGGAGGGTACCAGGTGTGGCTGGGGCAGCTGGGATTTTGGGCAGAAAGGGCGGGGGGACTCTGCCTGACCTAATTCCAAGGGGGCTCCAGAATTCTCAGCCTGGTCAGCATGGATCTATTGGGTGGTGCATATTCTTTTCCACTTGAATAGTGGAGCTGGGCCGTTTCTCTGCTGACAAGACTGGGGGTGTCATGCTGTACCCCCATCCTTGACTCCATACTTGGTGCTACCTCTGTTTTGCCCAGACTGTTCCAATCCTCACATGAGTGAGACTGTGGGGTGCTGACCTGTCCTGTCCGGCTTCACCCCACTTAGCTTCCTTCCATGTTTTCCACTCAAAGGCTTGAGTCTCCTCTTGTGTCCTTACCAAGGCGCATGCCCTGAGTCTGTGGGCCACGGCCCTGCACTCCTCTCTGTTCCCGGCCTCGAGGTGAACTTGGGGGCCTTTCCTGAAGGGATGTTTGTTCTCTGCCTGGCCTTGGAGTTGCCGGAATTAGCAGCGGGTTCAGAGCCAGTGGGCAGCTGGGCCAGAACTGAGGGCTTGATGAACCCGGGTGACACTGCGAAGTTGTGACCTACGCTCATAGCATCCTTGGGGCCTCTCCTCCCCTCGTGGTCCCCTTGTCCTGCAGTTCCCTCCTCCACCTCACCCCCCACAAACCCTGCTGACCGGGCTGAGATGCAGAATTCCTTCTGCGCTCCCAGTGTGGCTCCCAGTGGCTGCCGGCCTTACTGGTTGTTGTGCTGGGAATGTTTGCAGTTTGAACAAGAATGCTTGGCCATCAGAAGGCCAGCATTCTCAGTGTCTCCCTGTCTCTCCTGGTGTGGATTCATGGCGGCGATGATCAATGTCCAAACATTTGTTCTACAGTCCCATGTGAGCCAGACACAAAGGAAGGAGGAAGGGAGGTGGGGCGGGTTCTGGGGGCACAGAGCCCATAGGGGAGGGAGGAAGGGGGACAGCAGGACAGGGAGAGGTGGCTCAGGGACAGCGGGGAGGACCGGGGACGCCTCTGGGGCTCTGTTCCTGCCCCTTGCCCTCCTCCCCCACCCTGCTCCCGGCCACCGCCGACAGTGGGAGGGAGCGGGGGAATCTTTTGAGCCGTGAAAGGTCAGCGTGTCCTGCAGGGACAGAGGGCTCCTGTCTGGATCCCAGACGCTGGCCCCAGGCCTGCAGGGTGGGACAGGCGCTGAGGAAGCAGCTCACGGACTTGTCATCCTCGTCCCTGGCAGCTCCTGGGCCCAGGAGACCCTGCCTGTTTCTGCAGCAGCCTCTGGGGGGCGCCACCCTCTGGGACGGGCCAGCCAATGGAGACCAGCACTGGACCTTATCTGGGCGGCTGTGCCAATAGAAGACTGTAGACTCAAAGTGATTTTCTTCCAGCTGTTTCTTGGCTCAAGAAAGGGAAGCCCATGGGTGAGCCAGAGCCATAGGATAGTAGGTAGGGCATTTGCCTGGCACATGGCCGACCCAGGTTTGATCCTCGGCACCTGGTATGGTTTCCTGAGCCCCGCCAGGGGTGATTTCTGAGTCAGGAGTAAGCCCTGAGCACTGTTGGGTGTGGCTCCCCACTACCCAAATTAAGGGAAGCCAAGGTGGAGAGATGGTCCAGCGGGCAAGGGGCTTGTCTTGCACACAGCTGACCTGAGTTTTATCCTGGGTGCCTCATTGGTCCCTGAACCCACCAGGAGTGACTCCTGAGATCAGAGCCAGGAGTCAGCCCTGAGCACTGCTGGGACCTAAAACAAAACAGAAAGGGAAACCATAGGCTGGACCTGTCTTCTCAGTGGACAAGGCCTGGTGCCTCAGTGGCCCCTGGGCTAGCCAGAGTGAAGACTCTGGACCCCCATGGCCTCAGGTGTCCCAAATATGGTTCAGGGTCATTTCTTCTCTTGTCCTTCTTCTCCTTTCTTCTCCTTCTTCTCCTCCTCCTCCTCTTCTTCCTCCTTCCTCCTCCTCCTCCTCTTCTTCTTCTTCTTCTTCTTCTTCTTCTTCTTCTTCTTCTTCTTCTTCTTCTTCTTTTTCTTCTTCTTCTTCTTCTCCTCCTCCTCCTCCTCCTCCTCCTCCTCTTCCTCCTTCTTCTTCCTGCTTTTCTTCCTCTTCCTCCACTTCCTCCTTCTCCTCCTCCTCCTCCTTCCTCTTCCTCTTCCCCTCCTCTTCCCTCCTACCTTCTCCTTCCTTCTTCTTTCTTCCTCCTTCTTCTCCTTCTCTTTCTGTTTTTCCTCTTTCTCCTCCCTGTCCTTCTTCCTCTCCCTCTCCCTCTCCCCCTTCTTGTCCTTATATCTAGCGGTGCTCAGTGCTTACTCCTGGTTCTGT